CGACACACAATTTCATCGTTCTTGCTACTTATCTAACCCAAGTTGGTAAATCACTTGGCTATATATCTGAAATAGCCCTTACCTACCTCCTTATGGAGATGATTTACATATCAGAGCATAAATTAAAATTAACTAAACTTTAAACTAAATAAACTCTGATATATACAATTAACAGTAATAGGAATTAATACTTCATATAATAACAACTAAAACTTCCTTGGAGTCTCCACCGTTAGATCTCTTCTATAAGCTTGCCCTTTTCCTTTGAGGAACTTGCTCCTCCTATTGGTACATAGGAGAAAAGGGAGTGAGACTCGGAAGACTTTTAGCAGCAAATCATAACCTCACTATATAATGTGCAATGGCAATTAGCTAAGCATGTAAATAGCCAATGTAATTTAGAACAACACCTTACAAGCAAGTACACATGGCCATGACACCAACTCAAGTAAGGATATTACACAGTCAACGGCATACATGGCAAATAAACATGCAGGCTAAAACATCTATCATTTTGCCCCATTTAGTATATATTCGGAAGTGTTATAGTTTAGGTGAATCATGAATTAAACCCACAGATTAAAAACTTGTATTTTAATTCTCGGGTTACTATTTATTTGGTAATTTCAGATTTTTTATCTAATTTTAAAAATTTATAATTAATTATAAAAAAACTCGTATGAGGGTGTTCTAAAATTATTATGAAACGGCTATAAATCTTTTACATGAGAAAAATATCACTCTAGCTTGATCTTGCCCATATTTACACAATCTATTGCATTTACTAACTTGCCTTATTTTTCAGAAAGAAATTGTTCCTTAACTTCTAAAATTCATAACTCAAATTTTATACATCCAACGGATTTGATTTAGAACTTTTTGGAAAGCTTGGAATGTCTAGTTTATATGTAAAAGTTATCATGGTCATTAGAGATCATTTACTCTATGTTATTTAGTCAAACATTGACCATGATCTGTAAGTAACCTAGTCTGGACAGTCATGACCATCCATCTTACAATCATGCTCTCAAGGCCATATTTAGGCATACAATCACTTATAATTCATCACTGCAAATCAAATATACATGCCAAGACCTCATATTGAATTTAGGCGACTCATTGGCATTGTTATACATTTTACAACTTATAGTAAAATAATGCCATAAGAATCAATCACTCCATCAAGCTTCTTGCAATAGCTCTTCCTTTGGTGGCTCATAACCTAGCATGATTAGCCATTTGGTGGGGGTGAGACTCAAAGAATCCCAGTAATAACAAAATTTCTTCATGTAATCATACAAGATTACAAACAAATATGCTACTCAGGTCAAAGAAAACAACACGTTGCAACCAAATATAGCCAATGATGTGCACACATCATGCACTTACATAGCCAACCGCTAAGTATTGTGCCTACATTACAAAATAAATGCAAACCAGTGCATATTTTTATGACAAATAATATCATGAAGAGACAATTTACATGTTTTCATGCACAATCAGCATAATGACATATCCAAGCATGCAGTAATTAATGCGCAATCACATGATCAAAGGCAAAGAGTTACTATCTAGTACACTTTTTTCCGACTCAATCATGATTGAACCTCCATTTCCTTTTCCATGACATCCTTTGTCCCTAAATATATGCCGTGTAATGTTTATAATACTTATTAGAGCCATTAATCACATTGCCAACTCATGACAACTTAAAATCTATTTAGTTCCTATCTTCTTTATCTCAATTTTTCACTTTATTTTTCTTTGGCATAAAAATTCTTGAGCCATCATTTGCCCACTCAAATTTTCATGAAAAATTCATTTTTGAGCTCAAATTGAGCAAAAGAAACTTCTTCCTCTTCAACTGATCAAAACAGCAACATAGTGGCCTTATTACACAGGAATTTTGTTCTGATTTCTAATGCATTCAAACTTATTTTCTCATTTGAATTCTACACAATTTTTCATTTTAAACTCATTAAAAGCATCAAAATTAGCAAAATCAACCCCTTGCTTGCTGCCTTGTACAGACCAAAACTAGTTTGGGGGGGGGGGGAGGACAAGTTGATTTTTCAATATTCTAATCGATGCTCTATCATAATTCCATCTCTAACTTCTTCCATAACCATGATTTAGCCTTAAATCAATATATCTATATTCCTCAAAGATTTTGACAGCACCTCCCTTTATATCTTGCTTTCCAGAAATTACAAAATCTTAAGAACGAGGCCAATCAAAAATAACAACATAATCTACATCATTAACACAATCAATAATCATCAGTTACCTTATTCTTGAGCTTGAATCCTTGAAATTTCCTTTCTTAAAAACCCTAAGCTCCAACTCTTCTTGCTAACTATATATTATAAACAGGAATTTAGAACGGTAGAAAACCTTAGAAGATCAAGCTATTCGCGAAGAAGAATTTTTTAGAAGAAGAAATAACCTAGAGCAACTTGTTCTTCCTCTTTTTCTTCTTCTCTTCTCTTCTCCCTTTTTCCTCTTCACTCTCGGTTTCTCTCTTTCTTTTCTTGCTCCAGCCGAAGGTATGACAGAATGAGAGAGTTAATTGGCTTTTGATGACTTCATCCAAGTATTAATGAAATGGGAACATTCTTTTAATTCCACTTCCTTTCAAATATTATTATTTTAATGTGCTCTTGAGATTACATGGCTAATAACTCTTCTGCCTTTGTCCATGCTCCAGCTCACGCTGCATACGTGCTGGAGGGAGCATTGGATTGTCCACTTCAACACAAAATTACACTAAATACCCTTTACTCCTTAATTAATTTGGGATTAATCTTCCATAAGTACTTGTTGAAGATTCCTTGATCATATAATCAATGTAAAACCATCAATAGGTAGTAGTTTCCTAATTTTTCTTGGACCAAAATTAAACACAGTTACTTGTTTTAAAAACTTCCTAGATACCTTTTTTTAGCAAAATTCAGCTTTAAATATTGTAAAGCTAATCTCTTCATTTTCAAGGGTCAAAAACAATTTTATAATCTCCAAATTAATTTTGATTATTTAAGGCCTCCATATAATTAAAATAATTAAGTTTAACGAATTTTCTTCTAATGAGCCAAAATTCTCATAATCAGCTAAATTTCTAAAAATTTCTTAAATCTTATTTGGGGGTATTTTTATCATTTTTAACTTTAAATAGGCCTTAATATCATTTTCCATTTTTTGAAAATTTTCTGAAACTTTGGGCCTATTTTTCATCTTTATTCTTTTGGCCCAAACTTTTTGAAATTACAATTTGTTCCCTATCAAGGTTTGACCTCAAGAATCATCTTATTGAGGTCTCTAACATGAGTTCTAGCCAATAATAATTCTCATTCTCATACTCAATCTCTAAGACTTCATCGAAGTCTCTATCTTTCTCGTCCATTGGTCCTAAAAAACCTTCACCTTGCAAGTAGTCTTTGAGAATCCTTCTAGTCTTTTAAGAAATTTTTGCAACTCCTAATGAAAAAAGTCTAGTAGCTTGTCTACTTTAGCCTATTTCTTTCACTTCTAGGCCCAAAATGCAGGATATTACACAAGCAAACAAACACAAGCTATATAAGAGTAATAAATTTCACCACCTTTTTCTTTCTCTTTCCAAGTTAACTCCTCTTACTTAAATCTTACTTGAGCTTCTTTCTTTTAGCTTCCTTCTTTGTTTTGATAGCAGTTATTGAATCCTATAATTCACATATACATTTGTAGGAACAGATCAATACTTCAACTATGTATGTCACTATTGCATGATAAATCTCTCCCCACCCGAAACTCTCATCTAGCTCTTGTTTCTTTTTATTTAATTCACAACTTATCCTTTGGGTTCAAAATTCTTTCCCTATGTTTGTCTCCATGTAATTTTGCCTTCTAAATTCATTGGAAGCATCAAATCCAGCCAAAAACAACTCTAACCCCTTCAAAATGGTTTGGCCAAAATAGGGATATAAGCACAATTCCATTTATTAAAATTCTATGGTTAGTTGGTTACTAACTAAGGCATTTTGAGTATCTCAAATGTATACTTTATCATTTTAAAACTTTAATGTGTTCCATATCTAGAGTACCAAAACAGTGAGCCTTTTTCAAATGTAACTGTCAACATTGTTTTAATATCTTTAATAATGTTTTAGACAGCTACACTATGATGTTTAACATCCTTATGCATCAACACTGAGTTGTATGGAATTTCAACTATGCCTCATTGAATAACTTGGACAATTAACATTATTATCTAGTTTTCCTTTTAAATCTGAAAATTTTCCAGCTTCAAAGCATTGATTTAATCCTCACTTACGTGTCCATAGCTAATGTCACTTATATATATATATATTTTACTCACTCATCATCTCTAAATGGCATTAAACAGGAACATATATATGTTTTTCAGCTTCAATAATCTTTTTCATCATACCACAACAAAAAATACATACGTGTATACATATAATATTTATTCCATTAATCACTTATGTACAGCGTTCATAATCAACAATTAATATTCATTTCAATTTAACAGCATTTGTTCTATAATTCCAGAAATTGCAACTTCATGAATTTCATCCCAATCATCATTTCAATGTCTCCAAGCTTGGTTTAACCATCTAGAACCATTACAATACATCCGAATGTATCAAAGAGTGAGTTCTAAATTAGTTTCAGCTACCCTTTCAAATTTGAAATTTTTTTCCAGATTTTTGCTTTACTAACTCCATCACCACACGCATAACACACATAAAAACATACAGACATAACTTTTTAAATAACTTTTGCCTTTCCTTATAATTCGTGTGGCCATATTCTTCAATTTGAAAACTTTATTTTCCAGCTTTGAAATATTATTTTAGTTTCATTCATTAGCATGTTGTAATCTTGGAATGCTTGGAACCTTTTATTTTCCACTAGCATTTAATATTAAAATCGAGCACGGTAGAGAAAAATAGATAAGGAGGAAGAAGAAGCAATCAAAACAATAGTGGAACGAGTACCCACAGCTTGATAAGCAAAACCCATGGTGGTCACAGCATTGGAGACTGAAGAGGGCGAGAGCGACTGAACGATGGAGCAAATGAGCAAAGCAGTAGCAAACCCGAGCAAACCCGTGGTATTCTCAGAAGTAAAATTGAGTAGTAAAATGAATATTTTGCACTAGTGTCTACTCAACTAAACTCAACAATCTTTTGGTATTCTCTAAAACCCAAAAAAAGAAAACACACCCACGCACAAAAGAGCAGATTAGGATGAGTGCAAAACCTATCTTCTTGCTCGAGAACGCGTTGCTGATTTGCGATTTTCAACATCCTACGCTGCCTTCTCTCCGCCACCAGCAACGAGCCCAAGGGAGAAACCTTCAGAGGCAGAACTACTCTTTCCCCATGACAAACGATTGAACCGCTCGGAGCTCGTGCACTCCGCGACCAAGGGCAGTTCCCGATCGTTGTTCTTGCGAGCCTCCAACAACGATTTCACCCAACAAGGATCCACTCGCTTCTCGCAACCTTCTGTGTTCAGCTGTGAAATTTAATGCCAGAGGAAAAAAAATTGGATCTCAAAATACAGAACAAGAAAGGGGGAAAAAATACAGCGCTACAAGAAGTTAGATGCTTGAAACTTCTCTGCGTGGATGACAGCAAGAAAGAACGCTGGAAGTGATGGACTAAGCACAGATGGACGCTTGAAACTTCTCTGCGTGCGCGGCGCTGGTCTGGTGAGAGCGAGGGAAAAGTAAACTTTCAGAAGATTATAGGGCGGGTTAAATTGTTTTGGGTTTCAAAATAAGCAACTTTAGATACAAAAACAATGCGCCAGCCTTGCCAATAACACACGTGGCTTCAGTGGTAGGGGAGTGTTAGCTATTATAATTTCCAGGTCCCCTGTTCAAACCAGCCAGGTAACATTAAATGTTTTTTTTAACCTTTTTGAGCCAAAATTAATGTGTAAAAATTGGGCATTTTCCAGATTCGAACACAGGACCTCTACACTGAAACAAACAAGCGTGGCCAGCCAGGCTAATGAATTTAATTGAAACCATTGAGCAATAGAAAATATATATAATATGCAACTGTATATGTTTTACAAAATTTAATTAATCACATTTTAAATTAAAAAATATAAATAGTAATTATATTTAATTAACTATATACATGATTTTATTATCTATATCTCTCACACATTTTTAATTAATTATATTATCTCCTTTAATGATTTTATTTCTCAATCCTCTCATACATATGTTCATCATCAAATATTATTATGTCAATTAAGTATGCTCACACTAATTTAATTATAATAATCTCTCACATATATTTAATTATGTTATCTCTTTCAATTATAATATCCTTCTCTCTCTCACACATACAGACTATCTCTCTTCCAATAATACTTACCTCTCACCTCTCACCCCTCACCCTCTCACACACACACTCTATATTTCATTACTTATCCCATCAAACTTGCATACTTTTTCATGCATGCCTCGATCTCATTTCTCTCCCATACATAATGTTTTTCTATTCCATCTCTCAAACATTTGGATATGGGATATGTGTGTTAAACACACTTCAAACTTTCTTCCTCTTCCTTTCTCTCTCAAACACCATATTATCTTTCTTTTAGTCTCTCTCTAACACAAAAATACATTAAAAAAACATGAATTATCAAAGTTACTTAATTACGCAAATAAAAGATTATAATATAAAATTTTTAAAAAAAAAAGATTAAAAAAATGTGAAAAAACTTTCAGCGGCGACATGTCGCCGCTGAAAGTGAGCTTCAGCGGCGACAGAAAGCGTCGCCGCTGAAAGAGGATTCAGCAGCGACGTTTTGTCACCGCTGAAAGCGACATTCAGCGGCGACAGGAAGCGTCGCCGCTGAAAGAGGATTCAGCGGCGACGTTTTGTCGCCGCTGAAAGCGACATTCAGCGGCGACAGGAAGCGTCGTCGCTGAAAGAAGATTCAGCAGCGACAGTTAGTCGCCGCTAAAACCACATTCAGCGGCGACTTAAATTGTCGCCGCTGAAAGTGTACACTTTCAGCAGCGACTTCAATTGTCGCCGCCGTAGTGCACACTTTCGGCGGCGACAAATTTTGTCGCCGCTGAAAGTTGAAGCTACAGCGGCGACAATAATAAGTCGCCGCCATAACTCTCACTTTTGGCGGCGACATACTTGTCGCCGCAGAAAGGCCGACTTTTAGCGGCGACAACTATTGTCGCCGCTGAAAGTCATATTTTCAGCGGCGACTCCCTTTGTCGCCGCTGAAAGTGGTCGCTAAAAGTCCAGATTCTTGTAATGAATCCTGGACACACCATAACATTAAAACAGCGGAATCCAACACAGCCTTAGTTTCTAGAATTCTGATCACTAATATCCAACATGATACAACCTTCTAACAGCTATTTCCATTATCCTCTTTATCATTTATCCATTTTCATATCTGTTTGAAAATCATCAACTTTCCACTCAACAATCACATGAAACCAAAATATACTCAAAACAACCTGGCTTCATCATATTTATCATGGTTTCTATCAAGAAATCACATAACCTCGTAAGAGAATCTAACAAAAATCCCTTGGAAAAAGAGATTACGGATTCAACAGCATTTTCCCCAACAATACTCACATGCAAGCTATGAGACACATAATACAGCTTACATATCATCTATGTAGGCTTCAATTATGGTTATTACTTTTGTTCTTTAATTTTCTCTCACTAACCCCCAACTTTCAGCCATGATCTACTCCAAAAATACTAAACCAATGGATAAAGCAAAGATAGGATAGTGATCTAGGCAATTACCTTTACCTATTTTGATGATTGGATGTGGGTGAAAGCTTCATCTCCTTCATCTCTTTCCTCTGCTCTTCTACCTTCTTCCTCTCGACCTTTCTTCCTCTCACTCTTTCTAATTGCTGCTCCAGAATGAAAATGGAAAGAGAAGGCTGCGTGGCAAGTGGGTTTTAAAATGGAAAAAGACGGTTTTATGGTTAAGATTGATCCAACATCCCGGATTATTTTTTCGGGTATATATAGTAACTTAAAGTATTTTGTAATGCATATAATGTCTTAAAATACATTTTAAAAATGTATCCAATACTATAAAATATTTTTTTACATATACAAACCCTAAAATATTTTTTTAGGTGCGTCTAGCACTCTAAAATATTTTTAGTGCATCTAGCACCAAGGCAAACAAAAAAAATGCTTTAGATTGCTAGACGCACATGAAAAATATTTCAGGATGTTAGATGTATCACAAAATATTTTAGGATATACTGGATGCACTCAAAAAAACTCTTTGGGTTGCTGGATGCGCTTGAAAATTTTTTTTTGAGGTACTAGATACATCTTAACCCTTATTTTATTATATCCTCTATTGTATTATCACATAAGACATGACTTTAACCATTTTATTGGACCAATATTTATGATAATTGAAGCTCTTCCTCTTGGTCTGTTAAAGCACGGTTTATACTCCATGTGTTGGGCTTAGACATGACCCAAATCCATTTTTAGACTTCCGTTAGTGAGATTGCACTTTTACCCCTCAGAAATTAATCCTTAATACTTTCCTTGTTCAATTAGCTCCTTTACCTTATGAAATACATATCATAAAAATCTTGCTTCAAAAATTAGCCTTTAACTATTTTTCCTTGAATTTCTAAAACAATATGTCATTATCTACAGAAATTAGCTTTGAAATCATTTAAGCTGTATTTGGGGAAATATAATAAACCTTTCTATAAACTTTTATATTCTCAAAATAATACCCGATAATGTTTCCTCAAATTTTCTTGGGGATTAAATAATTTTATTACTTATTTTTCTCTTTAATCTCCTTAAAATTTTACCTAAAAATAGGCTTTTTGCCAATAAAATAATTTTGAAGCTCTAATTCTTAAAATAATTTTGTTAAACCTCATAATTACTTAATAGCCTATTTTTCATAGCTTTAAAATTTGAGATTTAAAGTAATACGATTCCACTGCTAGTGAGAGAAATGAGTGGAAGTGTGAGTGCTAGTGAGAGAAATGGTGTGCAACAGGGTGATACGTTCAACAGCGATCCGGTTTCGAAAGAAAACAAAGCAGCTTTAAAAGAAGAAGAGGACTTGCTGAGCAAGAATAGAAGGAAACTAAAGACAGATGTGGCAATGGAAGATCAAGCGGAGGTGGGAGCGACTAAAGAGAGGATGCAGGATACACCGATGGCATATAAGCAACTCGAACAAGGAGTAAACACGGAATCCCATGCCAAGCCTAAGGAAAGTCTAAGATCACAAATTTCCTACAAAGCCAAATTGTTAGGTAGGGAGGAGAAAGAGATGTTGAAGGAGTTTGAGGACCAAATGGCATAATGGCTCCAAGAAGAGGAAGACACAGCTCCTATATATTCTTTCCAAAGAGGAGAAGAAACTCCTTGAGTTATTGCCTAAGCTGAATATGCCTGATGAACAGCTCAGAGAACTATGTAAGCCTTGGAAGGATTCTGTGATTATCACCATTTTGGGAAAAGAGACCAATCTCAGAATGATGAAGGATAGAGTGGCTTGGATTTTGAAAACTAATAAGTTTGAACTTATAGATTTGCTGAATAACTACTATGTTCTTCGGTCAAATAACAAGGAACTGGGTCGAAAACTCCTGTTTGATGGTCCTTGGCTGATACAGGGGCACTATTTGGTAGTCCAATAGTGGAGCCCCAATTTCAATCCTGTAGGTTTTCGGGCATACCTGGAGTCTGCAGTAAAGTCAGGTTGCCACGCGGAGGTCCGATCACGGTCACGGAGTCGGATCTGGGAGACACAGCAAATGCACCGGAGGGAAAGCTTTTGCAGAGAGGGAGGGAGGAGACTGGAAAAGGCAGGAGAGGAGAAATGAAAACCGAACGTGCGTCCCAATAACTGATGCTACGGTTAACTTATCCCATGCATATTTTCAAAAAGAAAACTGCCTCCCTCGACATAACTGTTCCCGCTGTTGGCAAAATATATTAAAGGGCAAAAATTGCACTTTAAGACCCACAAGTCTTGTTATTTGCACCAGGACCCCAAATGATACTGGGCTTGGGTCTAATCCACCAAGGGTGGACTGGC